CAATACCTCGTAACCACTAACATATATTTGCACAAGAGAGAGAGAGAGAGAGAGAGAGAGAGAGAGAGAGAGAGAGAGAGAGAAAAAGCTGTGTATATTAAATATTAAATATTGAATAAATTAGAAATATATATATATATATATATATATATATATATATATATATATATTTCTAATTTATTCAATATTTAATATTTAATATACACAGCTTTTTCTCTCTCTCTCTCTCTCTCTCTCTCTCTCTCTCTCTCTCTCTCTCTCTTGTGCAAATATATGTTAGTGGTTACGAGGTATTGACTGTCCTTATTTGATTCGAGTATATATATATATATATATATATATATATATATATATATATACGTATATAATAATAAACACGTATATATATATATATATATATATATATACGTATATAATAATAAACACGTATATATATATATATATATATATATATACGTATATAATAATAAACACGTATATATATATATATATATATATATATACGTATATAATAATAAACACGTATATATATATATATATATATATATATACGTATATAATAATAAACACGTATATATATATATATATATATATATATACGTATATAATAATAAACACGTATATATATATATATATATATATATATACGTATATAATAATAAACACGTATATATATATATATATATATATATATACGTATATAATAATAAACACGTATATATATATATATATATATATATATACGTATATAATAATAAACACGTATATATATATATATATATATATATATACGTATATAATAATAAACACGTATATATATATATATATATATATATATATACGTGTTTATTATTCGTGCGTGACTAAACAAATAAACAAAAATTTTTTTGTTTATTTGTTTGCAACACGATATGTCATCTCGCGCACGTGTAAACGAACATGAAACCTCCGCTAACTGCTGCATATCGTAAGAGTGCAAAAACAGCAGCAGCCATATGACGTTTAATAGGAGCGCCGCGCTAGTGGAACATCCCGATCAATAGTCAGACAGCGGGCTGCTCATTGGCGTTGATCGAGGGAAAGGGGGAGGATGGGTATACAGCGTGTCCCAGAGCCAACGGATGCTCTTTTTTAACCGGCGATTCTTCGGCCAATTCGGGCACGATTTTTCCCCTCGGTGGTAATATCGCCGTTTATGTACTGCCGCTCACTTGTGAATTTTAATTTCAACGAGGACGAGAAAAAAAGTCGAGGAGGGTTCACCTCGGGAATCCTCCGGCACGATCTGGCAGAAATTTCGTGAAGTTTCAGCGTGTCTTTTTCGTTCCACCACTTTCGGCACATGAAATGGTTTATTCAGCGATTTGTTCAATGTGTAGGAGCAACAATAGTGGATTAAAGAGGTATTGCGAGCGTAAATATCAATACGCCGTATCAATACGCCGTTTCAATATTAAGTCGCCCATTGTTAATTGAACGATAAACTGACAAAACTGACGATTTTGTGCGACGCGAGATGAAACATTTCGTGACCATACCTCGACTCTGCTTCGGACGCTCCACCTCTGGAATAAAAAGAGAGAATAGTCAGAAAAATGACCTTGCGGTTATAGCGAAAAATGATCTAATTTAGATTCTAATATCTAAATTGTGTAGATATATATATATTACACTTTTATCCTTATTTTTGTAGAGAACTCAAATTTGCAACTATAAGAGCAATTCCATCATTTTTCTCATTTTATTTTTTCAATAAAGCTTTTTATATAGATTTCTTTTATTATATAGTTTTACAAACTGAGCGCGCACACTTGATGTCTTTTTTACATTTTTTTTTTTTCAAAAAATTAAGCTATCTAAACAGAAAAAAGCTAAGATGGATAAGTATCTGTCTAGGATAAACTCTACGACTTCGCATATGTTTTGTATTTAATCAATAAGAACGACAGAGACGACAGAGAAATTTAAATTATTTGTGAAATTTAGTAGAAAAGCTAAATATCCCTGCACTTTGTAGCGCCTATTCAGGGATTAAGGCCAGTTTCACACTTCTTATACAAGAAGTGGCTGTGGTGGACAAAAAAGACTACTGACGAAAGATAAACGAATGTGTAATCCTCACACTCACTTAAATTTGTTTGCAGATATTGCAGGAACGCTGTGTTGTTGTAAATTTCACGTGTCACGCGGACACAATTTCCCAGTAAATACAATAAACAACGAAATACAATAAATAACTTTTAACCGCGACACTCAGGATTCTATCAGCAAAACACTTCTTTTGACACGATCAGCATTTTGGACAATTCAAGCTGGTCGCGCAGTGCATTAAAACAAAATAATTGTGATGTTCCCAATTTCAATATGAATTTTGATGCGAACTCGCGTAATGAAACGTGAGAGACGCTCTCTCTCTCTCTCTCTCTCTTTATTTCCCCCTCTCTCTCTCTTCCGCAAGTAAAATTTACGATTCGCGCACATCCCATTTCGCGGCGCATCCCGCATATGCATTAACCGCATCCTTAATAGGCGGGCCAATTAAGCGCATTACGTTATCATGACCTGAATACACAAATTTCTCGAACGCATCGGGAATTCTGGGAAGCGGCAAGGCCGGCCGGAGGATTTTGCGAATTATTCCGCCCGACGTGCGTTTTGATCGATTCGGTATCACGACACGCAATTGCAGATGACGCTTTGAACTACTGCATCGCATTATACATATGACGTGGGGCGCGTCCGAAGTGTTATCTGCCGCATTACGTGCAGACGGAAGCACGTAATGCGTCTTACGGTGCATTAATCGCGCTTTGCCTCATATAACGCGTCGCGCTGCCTGCGATGCGAAGGAATCACTGTTAAAGCGCTCCTAACGCAGCGAGGGGACGCGCTCTCAGCGAACGCGCCAACCGACGCACATTTCGCTCGTGCAACAACGAGATAGACTCTTATCGCACGGCATGTGCGTGGAAACGACCTCTTGCTCGCGGAGAATGACCTCGCCCCTCGCGGTTGGATTTCCGTTCCCTCCGTCCCTCGCCGTAACGCAATTCAGGCTGAACTTAAAGAGGAACCACGCGACGCACGTAAATCGCATTACCTGCTCATCGTCTGGCACACTTTGACGCATCCACTTAACTTAGATACTTATCTTCATGTACCTAATTCCCTGGAAGATCCAATAAACAACGATAAGCTTTTAACCGCGATACATAGAATGTAGACCCAACCAACAATTTGGAGAATACAAGCTGGTCGTGTACAGTTCAGTAAAGCGACATAATTGTGATGTTTCCGATTTCAATATGAATTTTGATATGCACTAATCAGATTGTGCTCTATCAATTTATTATAATTATCCCCTATGAGCTGATATTCATCGGACTCTGATAAGTTATGCAACACAGCACGGCAATCGGGACTTTGTTAATAATATTCAAAGAGAGTATTATAGTTTTTCTTTCTCATATAAATTCTTTTCGATTTTACTGTGTTTCTAATTGTCCATTTCAAATTTTTTAATAGCACATTTTCAGCACAATCTCAGATACAAATAGCAATGAAATGAGAGCATAATAAAATAATCAATTGCTGCAAAATATGGATCTATTTCTCAGTTACAAAATTCTACAATAATTTTTATTATAAAATTCTGTCTCTCTCCGTGTAAAGTCTATTTTGTTAAAAAGTATAGTAAATTTCGCTGGAAACATAGCAATTTTTTCAGTTCTTATACGCAAACGTCAATTTTCTTTCATTGGTATTTTAATAATTACTGCAGAGTCTATGCAAAATGGTGCAGAATTTTTCTTTTCGATTTAACAAATTTACTACCAGCGTTATACCTATATAACGCACCAATTTCTCATCTCAAGTTTATCTTTACTGAAAATCTGCAATCTTACTTAACATGTTCGCTACTAACGTCACATGTATATGATAATGACATGTTTATTCGTATGTCCGCACATAAACAAACCAAGCTTATCTTACATCGTTATATGAAAACAAATCCATGGTAGTGAAACGCAATCCATGGTAGCGCAAACGTATTAACAAGTTCTGCCTTCATACTAGCACCGAGAAATCCAAACATCCTGTTATAAATAATTAATGAAACAACAAAAGCTTTGTGCGTTCCTTCACAATCTTTTTATTATATATTTTTTTATTAGCGTTAGAAATGTAAGTCAGAATGTTTAGTGCAACGCAAGCAACGCTCACGTGCGAGCAGAGCTCATGAAATTGAACGAAACAGTCCTCTACCATTTTGCAAATAACTACAATAATTACTCCTTTATCTTGATCCACAGTAACTACATTAATCTCATCACTATTACAATAGACAAAACGAAGAAAGATATTTCAGCAATTCAATCGCGAATGTTTCTCGTATCACTGTGCTTTAATCGATCATAACACTCACCTCTTCCAAATAAGCAACAAGAGAGCAGCATAGACGTGTGTGGCGACACGCACCAAGAAGATTCCTTTTGGTTTCATGTCGCTACGTCGATTTATTCGCGTGTTATAAGCGTTTGAAGCCGCGCTACATCGACATCTAATTTGAACACGTGCACTTGCTCTCGCGGCGGCGCGATGCGTACTAAAGTGAGGTAAATGACCGCGGCAAGAAAGGGCGGGGTATCTGCTTATCTAAGTCGCGTGATGGGGGGAGGGGGGGGGACAATGAGCCGTACTACCGCGTGCCGTCGCGTACAGTAGAAAGTGATTCTCCGGGAGAGAAAGAGAGAGAAAGCCGCGCTCCGCATTCCTTTCACTCGTCGCGTCTCTTCCGCCGATAACGATCTATAACGCGGATCGATATAATTGTGAATAATTCCACTTGTGGACGTCGTAGCGACTTGAAACCAACGCCATTGCACAGAGGAAATTACCGCGCTTCTGACGGACGTGACATCGTCTTTTTGTGCCAAGGATCAAACAGTGTGATCATGTAAGTACGAAAGAAACTTTGTGTTTGCATTAAAGCGGAGACTGATTGTTAAGCTCCGTTAGAAACTTGGAGAAACTTGAGTTTGGATTTATAATACGAACGCCAGTTTTATATTTTTGATGAATATAAAGTGCAATTTGAAAGAAAAGCGAAATTATAATAACAGCTTTTTATCTAGTAGCGGATATTTTTAGCCGTAGTATCAAAATTCAAACAGTCAATAAATTTAGCTTAACGACATTAGTTGTCCTTATTTCAATAACATCTTAACTATCATAGCTATATTCTGCGGCTAATTTTTCTACGTATAAAATATAAATAGTGTATGTAAAATAAAGGGAAAATCAATTACATAATATCAATTGCAGAATATCGATCTGTTCCTCGGTTACAAGATTATGAAGTAATTTTTACTATAAAAATCATACACTCCGTGTAAAGTCTATCTTGCTAAGAAACAAAAGTAGTATTTTTTTCTAGAAACATAAATTTTTTTAATAACATATTTCAATTTCTAAAATATAAGTAACACATATAAGATGAAAGGATAGTCAATTATTTCAGAGAATGTCGATTTATTCTAATTCCTCGGCTAAATTCTATAATAATTTTTATTATAAAGTTCTCCTCAGGATTATTAATAATTAGTATCTTATTAAAAGCTAGATTATTAAAAATACTAATTATCAGATCTAAAAATATTAATTACTAATTAATCACAAAATAATAGATTAACTTGGCTAGGACTGTAAGATAAATTTTGACTCGGTAAACACTTGGGGATTAGCGTATTTTCGTATTGTCGTTTAACGTTATGTTATTGTTGCTTCATTAAACAGTTGGTAAAGACGCGATAAGATGTCTGGAATCCATTGTTTTCTCTAGTCAAGTTCCATCAGTCATAGTTAGATCGCAGTGTGATAATTCCTGATGGGTCCGCCATTTTTAGAACATGAGTAGAAATGAGAGAGCAGCTCTAAAGACTGTAATTGTCGTCATTTGAAATTTGTTTCATGTAAGATACTCAGATTTTTATTCAGAGTAACATCCAAGTTTTTTTCAATTGAATTATAATATATGTTATATTCATATTTGTAACCGCAATTTATCTGGAAAATTCTCCTCATCTATCTTTGAATTCAAATCCAAATATTTCACCAGAGACAAATTTCAAGTAATAACTATCAATAAGGGCCTGAAACTGAAACTTAAGCACGCTGCAGCTTCTCTCTCACTCACTCACCCACTTCCTCCCCACAAATGGCAATCGACATCCTAACTCCGACTCGAGGAACTTTACCGTTGTCTTTTCAGTTACTTCATCTCGAGGCCATGAGAACTTAGAATGTCGCGCTTTTATTATCCTCGCGGTAGAAAAAAAAAGATTTATCACACTTCATCGAATCGCGTTATTCTCTCTTTCTCTCTCTCTCTCTCTCTCTCTCTCTCTCTCTCTCTCTCTCTCTTTCTCTCCCTCAGAATGATCTCTTTCCGCGGCGCGCAACCCTCTCGATTTATCGTCGCGCGGGATCCACTTAGCGCTCGCTGGCAGTCATTAGGGTGGTGCGGTTAAGTTTCGCACTTTGTCGCGGCCAAGTTTCCCTGCCT